AATAGTATAACAAACTTTAACTGATAAAATCTATAAATGTTAAAATATTTAAAAATTTAAACAACATTTAAATTTAAATTACAACATAATATAAACTCGGTTATGCAAAAAGTCAAAGTTATATGTTAAACGTCGTGTCAACGCACCTCGCGTTTTTTATTTAAATTCGCGTTTTTAATTTGTTATCTTTACAGTCGCCGTTTCGCGCCCGGCTTGAATGATACCGTTGATTCGTTGAATAGCAAAAGCTTAATAGCTACTAGATTGTTGGTGGTTACGATTACGATGCTATTTCGCTACACGCAAATGCCGCCTAGGTGAATATAGTGAATAGTAATACCAGTTCAATTCCCAATTTGAATTGCCAATTGTGATCACTATCTCGATTGGGATTGCCACGCGGCGCCGGCGATACCCATCGAAGCACCGTATAAATATAGCGCTACGGTAATAAATCAAGTATTAATCTTAATTGCGTACTGAAATACATGAAATATCAATTAAACCACGTAGTGTAATAACGTAATATTTGTGCTGGAATATTTGGGACAATTTTAAGATTAACAATTAAGTGAGGACAACATGTTAAAAATACGTAAGTGTATTATTTATTATTATTTATTATTATTATTATTATTATTAATGGGTGATTGTTATTATTGAATTGAGAGAAAGTTGCTTTGCGCATCTGGGTGATATTTATGTTGATGAAGTGTGAAGAAGTTTTTTTCTTATTTTCTTTTTGTTAAAAGCATGAATAATGATTATTTATGCATTATAATTATATTTAATTTATAGTTTATTGTTGAATTATTTATTATAAAACATAAATTTAATTCGTCAAACACCTGTTTAAATGTATTTAAACATGAAATATGACTAAATAATGTGTATGGGCAACTTTTACCAGATGGCGCTTGTGTAGTGCAGTGTAAACATAACCTAAATTAAGTTGGAGGTTAAAAATGTCAATGAAGTAACAGGATATATTTTATTTTATTGTTTAATGCACAAATATTGATAAATACAACAAATTTAATGAATATGTGTTTTTTAGCGCCATCTAGGTTCAAATTACATAACTATCACTATAGTTTATCCCTACTAATATTATAAATGCGAAAGTCCTGATGTTTGTTACACTTTCACGCAAAAACTACTTAACCGATCATCATGAAAATTTGTACACATATTCTTAGTGGTCCCCGAATGGTTATAGGCTACTTTTTATTTAATAAAAATAATTATTTTTCAAATAAAATAAAGTAATTGTTTAGCCAATAATACCTCTGCATCTGGCTATTTGACTACTTTAACGCCATCTAGCATTCCAGCAATGAAGCTCAAACCTAAGTACTATAGTACCATCACACTGTATTATCACACTGTATTACCGACAGCTACGTCAACATCAAATCCAATTGACTACACTATGGAGACTGTACACTATACTTCCATAGACTATACTTTCAGCCATTTTAAACTTCCCGCCATTCTACTTCATTGTTACTTTTTCTGTGACTACTGACGCGGGTTAAAGCTAGTTCTCTATATTCTGTATATAAACTTTAATAACAAATTTTAGTATTTTATGGTTTTATATTTACAACCAAAAGTAGTCTATGTTTTTCTCTATGATATTATCTAACTCCAAACCAAAATGCATCAAAATCTGTTGCGTATTGTAGGCGTGAAAAGAAAACAAACATACTTACATTGGCTTTTATACCATTTTTATAGATACTTATCAAATGATAATATGCACTATTTTAATATCATGGTATCATCACTGGATAAACCAGTAATAATTATTGTTTGCTTATCAAACTAATATTTATTTCCATTTCTATATTTCCATCGTTTCCGCTCCCATTTGAGTATTGCGATAAAATCTAAAACACACATTAATCACGTGTATTCAAACACATCAAATACACATTCACGCACTTCTATAAATACTAAATTATAATATCATAATATAGCCTACACATACCACACTATTAGTAATTATTAATTAGTAATTAGTGATTCGTTGCAATCGAATTGAATAGATAAGACACTATTCACAATATGCACGATATTCATAATGCACTATCATTCATTGCCAAGTATTAATCGGTTAATCTGTTAAATATTCAATGTCATATTATATTCTTGGTAATTGCTAATTGAATATTGATTTATTCTGCATTACATGTATACAAAAATATTGGAATATTGAATTATTAGAATACAAAAATATAATAATTATTTAAAAAATGGTAAACAGAATATTTTGTGCTATTAATATTTATAGCGGTTTTTCACATTTTGTTATGTTGAAAATTATATATATGTTGCAATATTTAGCAGTATTTACATTGCTAATTTTAATTTTGCTTACTGATAACAAATTCTTGGAACATGCCATTCTTAATTAAAATAAATAAATAAATAAATAAGTCACAAGTTGCGCGAATCTTACATATAACATTGAATTTGTTTACATAATATTAGCTGAAAGATTAGGTTAGGAATCTGTCAGTTTTAATTTTAATTTTAACCCTATTTAACCTCGTTCAACTTGATTTTTAACTAGTTGTTTTTGTATTTTGTAAAGTTTAAACTAAAAACTTTCGCTAAAAATCAAAAAAACGTATAAAACTATTAATTTTGCGTCCTTAAAGAGCAAACCAACTACATAACCATACTTTTTACAACTTGTCTATTATCAATTTTGTTACAATCATTTGATATGCAAAATATTATACACTAGCTTTAACCCGCGGCTTCGCTCACGAATATCTAAAATAATGTAGTTGATTCCCTACGCGTCTGTAGTCACAGAAGAAGTAACAATGAAGTAGAATGGCGGGAAGATTAAAATGGCTGAAAGTATAGTCTATGGAAGTATAGTGTACAGTCTCCATAGTGTAGTCAATTGGATTTGATGTTGACGTAGCTGTCGGTAATACAGTGTGATAATACAGTGTGATGGTACTATAGTACTTAGGTTTGAGCTTCATTGCTGGAATGCTAGATGGCGTTAAAGTACTCAAATAGCCAGATGCAGAGGTATTATTGGCTAAACAATTTCTTTATTTTATTTAAAAAATAATTTTTTTATTAAATAAAAAGTAGCCTATAACCATTCGGGGACCACTAAGAATATGTGTACAAATTTTTATGATGATCGGTTAAGTAGTTTTTGCGTGACAGTGTAACAAACATCAGGACTTTCGCATTTATAATATTAGTAGGGATTATGTGAATGTTCGTGTTGGTTGTGTTGCCTAAGTAATTTATTTACTTCCTTATGGTATTTCTTTAATATTTTCTAATTATTTTCATAATTAAATAAAATTTACAACCGTACCTTTTCAATTATCATGCAATTATCACGCTGATAACGCGTGAAATGGTGAAAACCTGAAATAAATACTATTATGTATTGTTTTCGTAACTAGAATGTTTTCGCCAATTACAATTAGCATACCGTTCTGCAGAATCATAATTCAATTACATGCCTTTTAACTTTTAACAGTTATACTGACCACTCTACTCAATATAATTTTGAATTTTTTGTTTGAACTGTTTAATTGCTCTTTAATGAAATTTATCGCTGTTATTAATTGCTTATTAACTCTTTGGTGTCGTAATGATGTAATGGTACATTTCCACGACCCAAATCGACCAATAAATTTATTGAAGATGAAGGTAACAATTATTTAGTGAGTTAATAAGCGTCTATTACATCAGGAGTGATTGTTTTCGGGAGTTGAAAAATGGCGTGTTTTTTGATGCGTAAAATCATTTGGTACGAAATTGAACATCATTTATTGGTGGTGTGATTCTATCGTGGTCGCATGTTTCAAAATATATAGTCTTGGCACAGTTATTTGTTGATTACGCAGAAAGTATTTAAGGAAATAACTTGATTCTTTTAAAATTAGACTTAGAATTAAATTCTGCATCTATTTGAGTAAAATTATGTTATTTAGACTGACGCAACAAAAGTTATTAACAATTAAAAATGGTTGTAGTAAAAAATATAAAGTTGAGGTTAATTAGACTATAACTACTGATATAAAATTGGTAATAAATCAAAAATAATTTATTTGGTAGAAAATTTAATTGGGAATTAATTTATGAAAGAATTTTGGAAATAAATTGATTAGTTCAAGTGTAATTAAATAAAAACCATAGATTAAAGCTTTGTTTTTGTAGTAAAAAATATGTAGTTCAATTGGTTCAGTTATTAATTAATTACTTAAAACGTAATTGAGATAGGCGTATGATTCCTTTAAAAACATATTGCCAATTAAATTCTCTAACTAATAAACGTTTATTTATTTACCCTAGATTAATACACAAAAAGTTATAAACAATTAAAGTTCGCAATGCAAAAATTTATAAATTTCATACAAATTACTCTATATCTTGTGTAATAATAATTTTAAAAATAAAATTTTTACATAATTTGATGCACAATTAAATAACAAATAAATTTCTGAAAGAATTAGTTAAATATATTGATTAGTTTTCGAGTAATTAACAAAAAACTAACACAAACAATGTGTTCACATATGTTTGCAGATTGTAAGGGAACTAGAACTATATAAATTGACACATACGTGCCCATAAATTGTACCTAACTATAGGTATTGCAATTGAAATAATAAAAAATACAACACTGCGATTGCGATTGCGATTGGCAATTTGTTATTCGTGCACGAAACACGAAAGTACACGCGTGTGTCGTGTTGTTACTCGTTGACAGACCAGAGACAAGAGACAGTTAAATAAACAGTCTTCTAACACGCGGGTAAAACATCATAAATATAATAATCAATAAATAATAAGTGCACCAAGTCCTAAAAATATAATATATATCTTATTAAATTATAGTAAATGTATTTTATTTATTAAATTAAAATCTAGTGTAATAGTGAGATGTTTTTGGTAGTTATTGTGTTGTCTTGAAGTGGAACAGGGAACGTGTAGCAAGTGGCACGCGATCAGCAATAAACAACGAAATTGCAACAGCAATAAAAAGAGAAACTTACCGAGAGAAGAGGTGACTTAACATTTATTACTTTACCTGGTTAAATAGTTACTAACATGTACTGAGAATTAACTATTTGATTTTATTACGGAACAAATCGGTTTTATGCTGAAATAAGTAATAAATTTACTTGGTTTTCATAAACTACTCATATTAAAATACAACATTAAAATACAATGATTTAAAAACAATTCATGATAGGATATTAAACCTAGAGTCGCGTTTTTTAGTTTTTAATTAATTAATTGAGTATTTATTAATTAATTCAAATTATTTCTTTAAAAATCTCTTTGATATTAAATTATTTATTCAAATATTTAATATTTTGTTGGTAGCATTGTGGATTCAAAAGTTACAAACAAATTTGTGTGAAATTTTGAGAAATTTTAATTTTTCAACTTTAATTGTTTATAACTTTTTATGCAATAATTTTATTAGCATACCCAGTTGGGAGTTATGTGTAGAATTTAATTAAAAAGCTATTTATGAAAAAATTACACTTTTATTGCATATAGTTAATGAATAATCCGTAAATAACTACTCACTATATCAAACTTTAATATTTACGTCTCTAAAATTTGTAGTTAAACTTTAATTACTTAAAAAACAATGAACAAATATGAATGTTTGTGAATTTACAGCAGAAATAGATTATTTATTAAATTCTTGGCCTATTAAATCAATAATTTAACCAAAAACAGTTTTATCTTTAAAATTACGATCAAATTTAAGTAAATAATAACATTTTGAATAAATTCTAATCAAAACCGTTTATAATTTATTGATTATTAATCTAAAATACACATTTTTAGTTTATTTACACGCAGAATTTAATTCTGAATCTATTCCCGAAAGAATTTTGCTATTATTATGAATAGTTTTTGAATAATTAATTAAAAACTATAATAAACAAACAAAAAAACTTTTCTTACTTCTTATAACTTCCGCGATTGATATCAAACTCATGCATGAATACGAATATATGATGGGAGTTTTTACTTTTTCGTTCTTGAATGTATCAAACCTTAAAAATCGTGAAGGTTGAAGCGTCGTTCGAGTGTAACCGCCCACGTCGCGAATGCCTGCCGAGTTAAACCACCGCGAACCGAACCTGCCAATGTAATAATTACGGCCGTAATATAGCCGCAGACAGCGAGATCTGCGCTAGACGTTGGTGCAAATTAGCGCGGAGGCAGCTCGTAATACGTCAAGAATCCAAACGTATTATAAACTATTCTACATTGACTAGACTAGTTATAAAATTAACATTAGAAATACTCGTATACGATAGAGATCAGTTTTAAATTTCACATTTTATTTTCATTATCAAGATATCAAGGAAAATTCAAATAAAAATAGAAAAATTGTTTATTTTTGCGATTTTTGCGATTTTTTTTACGTAGTTTTTAATCAAAATGTAATTAATTTTTATTTTCTTGTTCATAACCTAGAATGATATAAGAAATGCTAATAATGCACTTTAACGCCATCTGGGATTGAATTATTCAACTACAACTATGAGTAAATTACCATATCAACTTTCATCCCTTATTTAACACCCTGTATATTATAATTTTCAATATTTTAATAATTAATATTCTATTCTAAACCAAGACAAACCCAAAAAATCCTAAATAATCAAAATCTGTCCATCCATTCTTGAGTTATAAACGTTGTAACTAACTCTCCGCTGTACTTTACACTTTAATCTATACTTACGGTCGTCGAAAAGTCTATATATTACTACCTATATCTTTTGTATGAAATTTAAGTTCATTGTTCTTGCTTTTTGCTTTAAAACTTGCTCCTTCTCATTATTCAACGAGGCCAATGTTTACCTCTTTTGTCATTCGCTCCACAACTTTATAGTTATTGCTTTTCACCTCTATGGAAACAACGTGCACCTTTACACATCAAAACATTCATTTCGTACACAACTGCAAGACGCAACAACAACCAAACCCAAAAACAGTTATTGCACTTAAATTTAAACATTTCAGTTGTAACATTTTAGTGCTGCTTTAATATTTCCGGATTTACTCCGGAATCTTCAAAGTTAAACCGACAAAATCATAAACTTATCTTGTTTATTTTTATGTGTGTTCTCTGTACTTAACTAAACACAAATAGGTAGTGTACTCGTATGAAGGTAATTGTGTATTGCAAATTTAAGTGAGGTGGAAGAGAGTGGTAAATGAGACTAATTGCGGACAAAATCTCATTAACGAATTTACGACTTCTGGTTTTTATTTGCTTGTGGTAATGGTTTCTTGGGAAACAAGTGCATTTCAAGCTCAAGACGTAAAAAATATAACGAAATACAAAGAAATATTAACAGTATTCTGTTATTTCTTGTTTAAAAATTAACATTTTGAAGCAAATTCACAAAAAAATGAATTGAATATAAAATACGCTTTATATTAATTAATTTTATTGAAATAGCAAAGCTAAAAGCATATTTATACGCAAAAAATAAGCATTTTGTGTATAATTGTGTTAGTTGTGTTGCCTACCTCACTTTTTTTACCACTTTTTGTACAGATGTTGCTATTTTGTATTTATTTAATAATTAAATGTTTAACGCGTGAATAACATTGTAATAATAAATGCATTTCAAGCATAAAAGTTAATAATTTAACGTACAAAACAAAATATAAACTGTAACCTTTGAAAACTTTTCACCTAACGCCATCTATGCATAAATAGTGGTAGTACTTTCTCAAAATAGGTTAAAATTGTAGAATGAAGTAAACTAGCGTGAAAAGAATATTTACATAGTTTAACTAAGTAACAACGATGTGGTTTTCATGGTTTGGTGTTGCGTTTGACGCTTGGTGCTAATGAACGTGGTCGCGTTTGTCGTTTGTCTCCTCGAGCATGTCGCGACGTGACAAACCGCAGCGTAACCACAGGTAACTATAGGTAACCAAACCGCGTGTTACAATTTCGCTTTTTCACATTCCTACTCTTCTCTCAAAAGCATTCAAGCGTAAAAGTAAAGAAACTATTACCTTATACAAAAACCTTTATTAATTGAAAACATAATTACTTCAAATATTTATTTACTTTTAATTATTATTTTCAAAGAGCTTATAAATCCTCCCTCCGATAACTTTCCCTTATCTACCAATCGGTGGGGCCTTGACTTGACTTGTGCGAAAAATCAATGCCAGGAATTCTGGCATTCATTCCCATTCCTATTACCAAACAGTTGCACTGCACCACTTAACCAACCACAACACAACCCTTAAATTGATTCCTATCAAAGTAATAAATAAACCTTTCATCTCTAATAATTAAATTAAATTAACCAACATAAATAGAACCTTATACTCGTATAAGGGAAAATTCAATTTGTCACTAATGTACAAGTAAGTAAGTCAATATATGTATCACTCTTTTGAGAATCATACGATCCTAACGAACCACTGGCGCGGTTTCCGATGAACCGCGTGCGACCCGAAGATCGCTCTCATGCACTCAGCGACACACCATCACTCTATTAATTATTAAACAATAAAAGCGAGTGTGGCGGCGCCCGGCAACCTCCACGTAACCAACTCCGGCTCGTGCCGAGCACGCGCACCGCTCTACCCAGTCAGTCGTTTTCTTACACCCCAAAATGCAAAAATAAAACAAAACAAAAATGTATAAACATAAAAAAGTGATGTGTGGGTATTGGTGCTCACCCTACATCTACATCTACGTCTATTAAAAATAAAACATAGGTAATGATAATACTAGGTTACGCGTTCAAATTACCTCGTGAAATAATGCTGAATGGAAACCCGTTAATATATTTCCATTCGTTTCCCCGCAATAATTTATAATTACACGCCAAGTGAAACATATCGGTATCATGCCCGTTGGCCGAATATTTTACCCTACCGGCGAACAAAAAATCATCCTTATATGGAACATTTATGCGCGGTTCACAACCAGCAGCCCGCCGCGTTTCAACGGAAAACCGCCGCCATTAATAATAAAACACCAATATAACCGTCTTGAAATCCATTAAATTCCATAACGCTCGCCGCGGGACGGTCGTCAGCGCCCAGTTATATTGATTAATATAATATTTCGTAAGCTTAGAAAGTGCTCCGGCCCTGGCACCGATTCGTCTGCGCGAGATCGATATATATGACCAGGCGGAAGAATGTCGACGCAATTTAAACTGCTCCAAAACTTCTAAAGTTTCATCAAAAAAAAAAAAAAAATCAAAAAATTCTCACGTTGATTACTAAATTAGATTCTGCATCAAACCCACGGCATATTTGCTGACTTGGGCATGATAATTTGACAAATGACCATCCGCTCACCCGACGCCGATTGAGATAGAATAAAGCAATTATGCGCAAAAAAAATGAGCAAAAAGCTTAAGCACCCATCATCCAGTTCTCCACACACGAACATCAGTACCCTCGCAATTGTTGCGCTGAGCGTAATAGACGCACACGCGTGGCAAAGAGGTTTCAGGTTGTTACCATCGAACTTGAACTTTAACCGCAAAGTAATCGGTGTTCATGAATTGATTGATGCACCGTTGTGTTTATGGCCAAACAAACAAACGCGTACGCGCACACTCATAACGCCTTTCTCATTATGCGCAGGAACAATGCTGGGAGCTGTGGAGGAAACGATTGGACATCTCGTCTATGAGCTTCAAGCACGAGGATCCCACCATCTTTGCGCGCAGCCAGGTGAGTGCTATTTGCAAATGCAATTGAACGTTTTACGGCCGACTGTAAATCAATCATTGTGTGGATGTTAATAAACGCATTCCACCACAGACTCTAAAAAACATTTTCTACATTTCAGTGGCAGAGGAAAAAAGACCCGAATGCATTCTATCTGGCGTATCGGGTTGTAATCACGACGTATTTGGTGATTGCTTGGATTTTATCCATGATAGATTCGGATAATCTGCATGAACCTTATATTTTTCATCTGAAATGGTTGATTTATTTGACTAACTGGGGATTCACATGTTGTGTATTGCAAGCATTGGTTTGTACCATTATGTTGGTGGCGAGATATGCGAAAATGCGACGGGGTGGATTAAATTCTGATCCGGATCTTGTGCCTAATGTACGCCTGTATAAAATCTACTGGTTTTGTTTCACGATTAGTGTTGACCTTGGGATTGCAATCACTTTGTTGTATTGGATTGTTATATTTAATCGTAAGTTATGATTTTTTTCTATTTTTAACTGTTTTAGACTTTAGTCACGGGTTTTAGTCACGGGGTGGTTAAAGTGACACTTAGCGCACTTGATACTTAATATTTAAACTTTTTAAGTGTTTTTAATGAAAAAATTTCCACAGCTGATAAAATGGAGATTGATTATCTGAACTTTAGTCACGGGGTGGTTAAAATGTCACTTAGCGCACTAGATACTTATTATTTAAGGGTTTAAAAGTGTTTAAAAGTGTTTTTAATGCAAATCTTCCACAGCTGATAAAATGGAGATTGATTATCTGAACATCCTGGTCCATTGCACCAATAGCATCGCAATGGTGATAGAATTATCAGTGGTTGCACATCCGGTTCGTCTTGGTCACTTCTACGTACCTGTGACATCCGGTTTTGTCTACACACTCTTCAGTTTCTTCTATTATCTAGCTGGTGGTACATCAAGGTAAATTTCAAATATAACCTCAAATCATTTTTTCTTAATTTTAACCTAAAATTTCTTCGTAGAGTTGATGAACCCTACATTTACCCACCTGTAGACTGGCGTAAACCCGGCCAAGCTCTCCTCGTATGCTTCGGAGCCTGTATCCTCTTGATGGTCATCCATGTTGTGACCTATGGTGCCTACCGCCTTCGTCTCGCCATCGCCAAACGTATAAAACTCACCGATGACGAAGCCACAATCCCTGTCGAAGATCAATTCCGTGGGTTTGATAATAACTGCCTAGCCAACGACACAGTCTAGTCCCGTAGTGCTTCGTTTGGTTATCCGTCCAATAATCAGTATTAATCTCTAGTATATCCACACACCATTTTAATTCTACTATGCAAAACCAAAGCAATTCAAGTCAAGTTTTACCCTACTACGTAAGAGAGTGATAAAAAGTCTGTAAAGTTCCTTGAAGTTCATCATAGTCATTAGAACCTAAATAAGATAAGTAAGATAACTAGTGTGATAGATTGTTGACTTTTGAAATGAGACCTATATAAGCGTTAAGTAATGATTAATAAAGTCGTAGTTGAGTTACATCACAATTCAGAGTTTCGGACGGGCGAGGGTTCATTGATTCGCATTTCGGCCTTTGGGATGCACACAGGTAGAGATTCTGTGCGTGTGTGTGTGTGGGTGAGACCTGTGAGTCAACTTTCCGGCGATTTCTCGAGACTTCTTGAGAAGTCCGTCGATTGCCCCCGAGGTGCATAATGTTTTTTTTTTTCTTTAGTGAAGTTCAAAGCTCACTCCACTTACTTACTCCAGTAAAATAAAAATTAAAAAAATGCCGCTAATCTTGATTTAGGATAAAGATAAGATTAAGAGGTTTTTCTAAGGATGAAGTAGATTTGAGTAGAAATGGTTGAAATTCGCATGTTATGTAGCGTTGCATCTTGATCTTAACTTGACTTAAGTTGAGTCAAGTGAGTCAAGTTCCGGCGCTTCGCCCAGTACGGCTACTACTCTGCTTCTGCGCGTCTACCTGTGCGTATACCATACCTGCGACCACCGCACATGAAGAGTATTTCATCTTTGTCTTTTACTGCGGGATCTCTGTCTGCGTTGGTTGGTCAAGTACGAGAAACGCATTACGATTTGCGAACGCGCCGCGGCAGTTCGCAGCCCGCGACCCGTGGAGCAGGAGGTGTGAGTGTGCGGAGGAGCTTCGAGAGTGGAGAGGTGCTCGCAGGCCCCGCACTCAAGTGACTTAAGTGAGTGAGTGCAGTAAGTGTGTGTGCGACTGTCGCCAAAGCTCTGGATTACTAAAGTGATGCATCTAGTGACTTAAGTGCTTAAAGACATATTCGCGCAATGATGGTTTATCCTGACCCGCAGTGGACGTGTCCTTCCACCACGCCAATGTTACAACTCTACGATGAGTCCTATCGAGGTAACCATTCAAAATATCACATTTTTGAGTTATTTATATAGATGTGTAACACATATACATGAACACACTGTATGTATGCATGTGTGTTGGTGTCTTGAGCGCGCTGGTTCTCACGGTGCCACTGCTCTCGCGCACGCAGGGCATGTCGCGCTTTGTGTAACGTGTTTTTTTTCCGTGTGCCGGGCTGAATTAAAATCGTTGTCGTGCAAAAGTGGACATTGCGAGTCATCCAGTTGTCCATCGATGACGAGCGGTCAAAGGCTCGCGCGGTGGCAGTGGGAGGAACGCCCCGGTGCAGAAACACTGACGTGACATAGCCAGACAGCAAAAGTCGTGTGTGCGCGCGCGCGCCTAGCATAAATTTGGTTCGAACTGTAACTGGGACCATTAAAACGTTTAAAAACTGGCTCCGCGACCGTGGACGCAAAAGGCGCGCCGCGAGTCAACTCTCCTTTAATCAGCACACAATGCTTTGTCTCTGCCCGAAATGCGCTTCCCAGAAGCGATTTGCTCTTATATGTCGTCTTGCATTTTCCAGTCAACGTGGTGGAAGCGCTGCAGGAGTTCTGGCAGATGAAGCAAGCCCGCGGGGCGGATCTACGCAATGGTGCGTTGGTCATCTATGAATCCGTACCGTCCAACACCCAACCATACGTCTGCTATGTTACTCTACCAGGCGGCTCCTGTTTTGGGAGTTTTCAGGTAACCATGTTAATTTCTCCTTCAAATACTTCTTCAAAAGTTAATATTTGTCTTTGACGACTTCCCAGAATTGTCCCACAAAGGCCGAGGCACGTCGGAGTGCCGCCAAGATCGCGTTGATGAACTCCGTCTTCAATGAGCATCCATCCCGACGTATCTCCGATGATTTCATTGAAAAAGTCGTAGGTGAAGCAAGATCCACCCTCAAATCCACATCCAATACTTCATCAGAAGACACTTCGGATGAAGGTGATCCCAATCGGGGAATAGGCGCGTTTCGCTTCATGTTGGAAGCTAACAAAGGAAGAACAATGCTGGAGTTCCAGGAGTTGATGACAGTCTTCCAACTGCTTCATTGGAATGGGAGTTTAAAAGCCATGAGGGAACGACAATGTAGTCGACAGGAGGTTGTAGCTCATTACTCCAACAGAGCTTTGGATGATGACATGAGATCTCAGATGGCTCTGGATTGGATCGCCCGTGAGCAGGAGACTTCCGGAGCCCTGCGAAGGGAACTCACCCAAGCGGAAAGAGAACTGGAAGCTGCTAGATTGGCTGGAAGGGAGTTAAGATTCCCCAAGGAGAAGAAAGACATTCTTGTGCTTGCGCATAGTCAGCTTAATGTCAGTTGAATGAAGTGTGGACCTGGAGGTTCGTGTGATACCAGCGCCAAATGAAGAAACAATGCATTTCTTTTTTCTTTAGCTGATAAGTGAGACTGCACGACGAAACTAATGCAAGTGGTTGGTGTGTGTGTGTTCGTGGAGTTTTGAGCGTTTGCGACACCACAAAGACAAAGCGAGAGCGTGCACGCAAGAAACACGTTACTGCGCCTGCTTGCGCTGCGCCGGTGAAGAAAGAAGTGCAGACGAAACAGCAGCCACGCTGCCGGCTGTTGCGTTGTTGATTCTTGGCTGTTGCCGCTTGACGAACGCCGGCTGCCGCGCGCTTCTTCTTCTTCTTCGCTGCACGCGGCCCCGCTTCGGGTCATGGGAAGAACGCGGGTCGTCGGAAGTCGGCCATTCTTAAATCAACGCATTGTCCGCGACGCGAATGATAGATGTGTGTGCGAGCGAATGTTCGTTTTGTTTTTGAAGCGATCTCATAGATGTTTAATTTACTGCATTGCTGCATAATTTATTATATCGATTTCGATTTTTTTTTTACTTTCTTACTTCGTATGATAGTTTAACGGCGTGTACAGACTTTAATCGCTATGTATATAACACTTTTTTGATTGATTTATTGACGTACGCATGTGATGCGCTATTATTTAATAAAAAAACACTTTAAACATTTCCTGTGGCGTGTTTTTTCTTCTTTTAACTACTGAGCTGTTGATAATATAGCAATTTTAACTTAGCAGTTTGCATATAAGTTTTAAAATGGCATATCAGCAGGATTTGCAGCAGGAAATTCAAATATTTACAATGTGTCACACTGTAAAGATTTAAATATTGATAAAAATTTAAAATACATGTAAAAACTAAGAAAATAAAGTCTAGAATCAAAATTGGGCATAAGGCATTATTAATAATAGTGTTTTAAAGTACTATTGTTTAAATATTTAATTATTTATGTTGTTACAAATATTTGTGTGTCACTTTGTATTAACCGTCAATGTTAGTTTCAAAATGCGGCTGCAGATGTCAGCACCAATCAGAGCACATTATATTTTTGCTTTAAATTTTAAATTATTTTAAAAACAAGACGTAAAATATATCTAATTTTTGTTATAATATTTATATCTTGTTCTACGTCTTTTTATTTGTTGATTTTTGACTAATTAATAATATTTTATTATTTTATAAATAATTCTGAAACCGTACATGCAGCGACACCTAGCGGTCGCTTTAAAAGATAAATAAAATCATTTTTAGTTTTTAAACACTTTGCGCGTCAAAATCTCAATTGTAATTGTATTTTATAGCTAAAATATTCAAGTAATTTAATATTTTATATCTTAAAAGTGTAAATTCTGTGTGATTGTTTCTATTACTTTATTTTCTTTGATAACCCAGCGCCGTATGTTGGAGTTTGACGGAATCATAACAGTACACATCCTTCGTTTTATGCGCTGATCCGCCCCCCGGTTGTAATCATAATCAGTTGTGAGTGTTTAGCGTAAGAGCGTTTACTGCCTGCGGCGCGTTTAATGCCCTAAACGGCCCCAACGCACCGGAATCTCCCAATACGCAAAAATCATCACCGGCCAGTGCGACCACCCTGCGCGAGTTTGTGCTCTGCGTGGTGCAACCTGCGATGAAAGTGCCCCAGCGAATATAAACCATGACCGTCGCGTTTAACGATTACTTTTGGGTGAGTGTACGCCACTGCGCTTTTGTTTATTGCTCGCTATGGTAAATAAGCTATGGGATAACATCATAATGCGCTGCGTCACTTGCGACGATTCGTTTTTGTTTCTAACAAACGACAAGCAAACAACAACTAGGTTATGTTCAGTAATCAGTAATCCAATACGATTTACTTTTATAACACACGTAACGAATGTAATTAGCACCGGCAATTAATCGAAGAACAAACAGAATGAACTGCTTCATTCGATCCACGTGAGCGTTTCAATGCGCAGTAATAGGATATGGTATTAATTCAACTTTACAACAACTTTAAACAGTCATAACCCTAGTTATAGTAGATATCTATGCGGATAATGTTCAGTTGGCAGGAAAGTATTAAGTTGGAGTGCGTGAAAATGTTACGGGTTTCTTCTTACAACGTAAGCCAATTATTATTGATTATTTTCTATGCGTTGAATGCATTCATTGAACGCAACGAAGCGCCGACGAGTTTAACTTTAATCTGTGTCCTTCACTTCACTGCCAGTCGAATCAGAGTCCGAGTTTTAACTAGTTTAATGTACTTGTAACTTGTGTTATGTTGGGAGTTGTGATTTGTTGAGTGCATTCATTGATTCACCAACAGCACAACAAGTTGCATTCATTGCATTATCAACATGCGCATTAAATATTAAATATTTTTATTAGTTAATTCGGAAGGGTGTAGTTTAGGCTTTACGCCACTCTGCAAACAAAAACGACAAGGAATGAGGATAACGTCAGAATTTATTCACCGCGTTGGTATGATCAAAATGCGAAGAAGCGATTTTATTGCCAAATAAAATTTCGCGCAGGCGAAAAGTACTTGATATGTAGGTACTCACTACGAAGCCACGTAAAGTTTGGGGGGTTAGTCGCGTTACCCTCCTACGATATGAAAGTGTACTGGGACGCAGGACAGATGCCAGGCACCTGCGTGCTGAAATTGCACCCGGAAAGAAGCTTGCCTGCTAGCCCAGAAACTCCTGCATTATTAAGTTAGTTCGCTAACCGAATTACGCTCAAATTTGTTTGCAGCAGTCGCCCGCCCGGCAAGCACAGATTACGCGATCTTCCCTGCATCGTCTACAAGATAAAGTAAGAATATTTGCGCTCAACTAGCATCGTTTTATCCGATAAAAGTCACACGTAAAACCTGCTTAATTAAAACATAGTAAAATGCATTATACGGTAAGCGAAAGAAAAAATTACGAAATTAGATTCGAAGTCAAGGAGTCAAAAAACGCGTGGTGGTGGTGAAAAACCCGCGTGTCCGTAGCTGATTGCAGGAGCGGAAAAACTTTTTACTAATTAACTCGCGCGCGCGCGCAGTTTCAGGGATGAAATGCCAACTGTTGCAAAAAAACTAGCGCTCGTAAAGTTACGGAAAAACCGCGCTTTTGGAATTTGAGCGATGGTTGAAATGGTCGAGAAAAATGAAAACGCGACCGCTTTTATTTGCGCCGAATGCAAGCCACTTTGAAGACGTACTTGAGACAATATCTTGAGTTGACTGTTGATAAATTACTGGAACACTTTGTATTGAGCAAGTACTGGACTTAGCAGGTTAAGATTTGTTAGATTTTTCTGTGTTTTTGTGTTATGTGCAAGGAAACTTTGCACTTATAGGTCTAGTCGATTGGAAGAATCCTCCCCAGCAGTTGCAATCGCGCCAGTGCTGGACACTTGGAACCACCTTCGGCGTTGGCGACTGCTGTCGGAGCAAGTGGTGGCGCAAAAGCCGTGAAGCGCGAAGGTAATGAGAGCAATGTAACCGGGACACAGGCCATGCCAACACATGCAAAATCATCCCGCCGTACAACCTCCCTTCTTAATCTCTTCATGTCTAACTCGCAGGGTATGTGATGACCAATCGTGGGGCGCGCGCTCTCTAAAACTAACCCTTGGGTCTGTTGTGTTTGGGGGGCTGTGTGATTGCAGGATCGCGCGAAGGCCGAGCGGGGCCGAGCAGCGCGCCGTCGAGCCCGACTAATCCTGGAGAAATGACGCGCGGCGTGCAGCGTGGATCGAAATGTAATTGTTTTAGACACATTAGCCACATTTACCTCTCTCTTTATATATAATATATGCTCATGCCATGTTTGCTTCTTTAATGTAAATGACTGGACTCGTTGGCTATTTTTGCTTAGTGTTGCACCGATAGATCTCTTGATTCCCGAGCAGTGTTGGCGGGTGCCTGCCCCATCCCAACCAGTTTGATTTTTGAATTTTAAGCTACTCTTAACACACTTTTTACACACACTCGCCACACTTTAATCAAGTCAACTAATTGCATAATCTTTTTTATTCACGTTTAAGATCTTGGTGTTGTGTTTTAATTGATTGATGTGGATGTAGGGTTTCTGAGGAGTCGACGGGACAGGGCCAGGCAGAAGAAGGCGAATAAAAAGAAGAAGGATAGCACGGACAATCAAAGCAATAAAGAAGAAAAATCAGATTTGTACGATTGCTCATTTTTATCTTATTTATTTTATTTCATTCACATTAATAACTTATAGGGAAGAAAAAGAAGAAACGAGAAAAAGTCAAACCCTCGTTGAACGAGACCCAGATGCACCCGAAGTCGATGAAGATGGTTTCGTCGTGCAGCCAACCACACCAGCCAATTGGACCAATGACAAAGGCAGTTTCTATTCCTCATCGGATTCCGACTCTGATGATGACCGGGAACGAAAAATACGCGTTGAAATCAAACCGTTGAACAATGGCGCCGCTCCCATGTCCGCATCCGTCGATGAATTACGCGCCACTGTCGAGAATCTTTACCTGCTTCCGGCTGGCGGTCGTCGTGGTTCAGCGCTCGACTCCCAAGACGCTGCGATGAAACGCTCGCAATCCGTTTCGCAACAATTAGGTGGTAAACCAAGCAGTGACCTACTGGGCTTAAACTTTCAAAGCCCGGCACAGTCCAATGCTTCCACTCCGACTAGCACTCATCCGTACGCTCCTTTACAAAGCCCTTCACAGCCCACACTAAACTCACCAACTTTATCAGCTTCTTCGAGGTATGCCGATCTGGGGGATATATTCTCCGAAGTCGGGGAGATACAGCCCGCGCCTAAACCTCGCCAGACCCCGACTCCCACCAGTGGGTATATGTCTATTCCGAGACCGCCTTCGAGAAGATCCGAAGCTGCCACACCGCGTGGTCATATCAGTCCGTCGAACATCTCGAGGGCAGATAGCGTGGGTAGTCTTGAATTTCGTACTGCTTGTGTACCGGTGGGGGTGTCCAGAGGGCCTTCACCGTTGACCATTGGAATGGCGGATACTATTCCGCTAGCTGTTGCTTTTCACGAGATTGTGCATTCGTATTTCCGTGGGGCGGATGAGACAAAGTGTCAGGTGAAGATGTCTGGTGATATGATGCTCTCGTTTCCTGCGGGGATTGTTACAGTGCTGGCGAATAATCCTAATCCAGCCAAGTTGACTTTCCGCGTGCACAATACGCAGAAACTTACTATATTACCGAATAAACAATTGGTTACAATGTAAGTTTTAACTTACAGATATTTCATACTAATTTTTAATTTAAATTTATTTTGTGTAGTGATGGTAGTCAATCAGCGGTTGACTCAAAATTCCTCGAGTTCAACATGACCGCGCTAAGTGCCCTATTAAAGAAGCAGTCTGAGCTAAACCCGACTGCTTCGTATTTCAACGTGGACATCCTAAAATATCAAGTTAGTTCCAAGCACATAATCATGTCTATATTAAATTTATATGGATTTTTTGTGTATTTATAGATTAAACCGAAAACCGGAGCGAATTCATGTCCGCTCCAACTAGTGGCTTACTGGAAGTGTGAAGAAGCTCACACCGACCTGAAAGTAGACTACAAGTACAACTCGCATGCAATGAGCTCGGCTTCTCCTCTATTGAATGTCTCCGTGACTGTTCCAGTTGAGGGTGAGGTCAAGTCTAACCAATCTAAACCAGCCGCCATTTGGTAAGTCTTATAAAAACCGTTAATTAAAATTTAAACAAATGCGTCATAAACTGGGTGGTTTCACCAGGAACAGTGAATCGAACCAATTGGTCTGGAAATACACTGAATTATCTCTGCACTCGGAAAACCACGGCGTAGGTTCTATGCTAGCACGAATTGATCTAGATTCTGGACCAACGAAACCCACAACTATTTCGGCACAGTTCAACTGCGAGGGTACTACGCTATCAGGTATTGGTTTCCATCTGCAGGGAGCTGGATATCGGCTCTCACTAGTCAAGCGCCGGTTTATCTCAGGGCGGTACATCTGCGAGGGCGATTTGAAATTCTCCAGCGCTGGGACTTCCGGGACAGCCACTCCGTCGTCGACGACCAGCACCACCGGCAACTGCTAGCATTCCAGCTTGACGACATATCAAACGGCACTCTACACGCTAGTGCTGTAATTATATCGAATTCTAGGACCTAAACGTAAACCTGACACATTCAAACTACACACACACACGTAAAACGCTATAAATATTATACAATAATCGATTTAACGACGACGAGATACACAAGAAATAATGATCTAGGCGATCCGGGGACGACCCGGGATGTAATTGTAAGTATTTTCATGTTACGAAGGCGTATATTATATAGTTTATGATGCTATTTTATATAATCCTGTCATTTTCGGCGTTTCGTCGTTTTGTTAGCACCGAGATAGGTAGGCGTAGGATAATGTATACATAATTTTGATATATTAAGCTAATTTTAATAATGTTACGAACGTGTATTGTGCAAACGACGCTGAATTCGATGGAATTCACGCAAAACAAAAGACTATTTGTTGACAAACTCAAGTTTGTTTCACTTTCACCCTGGCTTTTACTTATAAATTACAGATTTTATTCGTTTTCTGCAATTATCTAGCATTTGTGCAATTTTTTATTGCATATTTCATAATTATATCATAAGTTAATGATAATTAATTGTTAATATCATTAATTACGTTGCATATGAGTACAATACATCAAATTTGCACATCTGATAAATATTTGCAGAATACACAGTTGGAATTGTTTAGTTAACATGAACATTAATGGATATGGATATAAATACGCTTGAGTTTATTTCCTTCCATTCAGATTCAAACAATTCCGATTAATACTCGATAAAATGAAAGTTAATACAGTGCTGCTGTTGATAGCAACAGTTATATTATTGCAATGGAATTCTTGTTATGGTGATCATTCCTCTACATCGTCGTGTTCGTCCTCTTCTTCATCAACATCCGGTAAAGATTTTTGAATTTTTAATGTTTAATTTTGTATTTGAACTGTTTGAATCCTGTTTTAGGTCACCACTGCATTAATTGTCTTATATATTACTCTAAGGAGTATTGTAATTCTATTGGGAAGGATCAAATTGAAGCTACGTGTTATAGATGTTCGGCTTGTGTAGACCGGAAGCCATGCAATTGTTAATTTTGCTCTACAAGATGGTGTAAGAATTGCAATCTCTTATTTTACATTTTAAACATTTCAAATTAAGAAATAAACTCAAATCATTTTCGAAACACGTATGTTTTATTAACGTTAATCTTTAATTACTTGTTAATCTCTTTTGTCCGTGTTTAATTGCGTAATTTTTGTAAACAATTTACTTAAATGTCACGTACAAATAGGAAATATACCTGGTATAAAAAGCAGGTATCACTTATATTTCTAACACAATTTTATCATATACTCGTACAATTCTGCAATCATAATAGTAACAAAATCAAAATGAAAATTAAATTTGAGTGTTTATTACTCGCAACAATTGTTTTGTTGCAATTGAGTGCGTCAAATGCTTCAAAAGAAGAAGAAAAAATTACTATCGGTACGTTTTAGTACTCAAAAGTTTTAAATTATAAACAAGAAATTTATATGATTAGGGAAACCGATATCATGTGTGTTTTGTAAAAAGTATTGGTCTAAAGAAGAATGTGCGGCACTTGGAAAGGATCATTTTGAAGGAGATTGTCAGAAATGTTCAGCTTGTGTGGACAGAAAACCAAAGAAATCTAAAAAATGTCACGATAATTAGCATTGCCTGATTAACTCCGATTAATGAAAATGTTAACTATGATTTATAAAATGTAAGTACATTGCAACACACCAGCTATTTTTGTACAATGTAACAAAGAATTCTACATTTTCCACATGTAACATGCAATAAAGAGTGTTAATATTTAATAAGCAGGCGTCCTCATTAAGTTTGCTATAAAAGATGGGAATTATTTTTATTCAAATCATTTACATTTGTTGTACCATGTCAATGTCTTGTGCTTAAACCAACTTAAAGAAAAATGAAAATTATTATTGTGTGTTTGTTAACATTGACAACCGTGTTGTTGCTGCAGCCATGTGTTTCGCAAGCTGACAAATGTAAACTTCTTATAAGTTTTTGTTGTGGAATGCTCGTTTTCATTGTTTTCTTTATTTATTAGATGGACCATGTATAAATTGTTTAGCATATTATTCCAAGGAGTACTGCGCCACCTTGGGAAAGGATCAAATTGAACAAACCTGCCATAGATGCTCAGAATGTGTTGATAAGCCCATTAAAAACTGATTTATCAATCCAGGATGAAAGTATTGATTTAAATAATATTCATATTGTATGCTAAACATTGTAATATTTTTAATTTTGTTAAACTTAGTATCGAAAATAAACCTGTTTTAAGTTTTTAATTTTCATATTGACCTTAGAAACATCATTTACTATTTTGTGGCTACCATTTTATAGCTCAAGATATCCTTCAGACGCTCTAGGTGTTAATTGACAATATGTAGTGGATACAAAAGTGAAAATACGTGAAAACATTAATTATTGATTATGACTAGTATCTGTCGCATTCATAGATGGCACTAGAATGCACTAAAAATCATAAAATCGAGTTATATGACTTATTTTTATATTTATCGACAAACGTGGACACGAGAATAGTTTTGTATACGATGCTGTTATCTGCGATTCGACGTAAACAACTTTTTTTATCGCATGTGTTCCGCGCGCTGTCTCCTAGCGGTGCTTCAACTTGCTATGCAAGCGAAGTCTAGTTTAGTTCAGATCACAGGTAATGTGCAAATTCGCGCACGAGGTCGCGTGCCGTCGACGCGCCGGCTTTGCGCACCTCTTGTTTTCTTATCATATACTGTCCCGTCGTTGTTTACGCAGTTTCGGCATGCACTATCGGTGGATTGCAGCCAGTTTCTTGCCGGTTGCTGGTTAATCCAGTTGTGTTTTGAGAGACTTATATCTTTTATTCGGACTTCAATATTCTAAATTTGTGTTATACTCGAAGATCAATCGACTATTTATTTGTACATTGCGACTATAGTAATTTATTTAATGTTCGGAAATGCCGGTTTTTGATCGCGTTTGTTATGTATATTAGGAGTCACGTGATAGTGGATTTGATAACATTCTTCACTCGGCGTTGTGTTTGGTGTCGGTTCTAAATTAATCGGATATATGTCGCCCCCATGTTGATTCTCATCAAAGCTCCATCAGGCTCGTGTAAGTATTTTTTTTAACTATACAGCACAGATTGTTTATTTTGTGTTGATTGTTAATTATAACATAATTCTATTGTATGAAATATTGTTGTTTCAATTTATGTTTTCGTTTAGTTACAGCACTCGTTGTGCCTGGCAGTCCGATAAGCTGTACTGCTGGTAAAGAAGGATTTATAATTCTATTATATTTTTTCAGCCAAATTTTCATTTGTTGTTTATAAACAAGTTTTTGTTTATCACATTACTACCTAACTGTGACACAAATTAAACGACCGGCACGGACCTGAACATTTGGAGATATTCGCAATTCAAAATAGGGCAAAAAGAAAAATTGCACTTTTAGTCCCAGGTTTTTGGTCCTTTTATCCCACGCAATTAAGTTATTTTAAATTTATATTTATTCTGCAGAATTTTCCATTTTTTATAACTTTCTATCCGTTCGTCGTTATCCTTTTTTAGTTTTAAAAGATATGCACTATTATCTTTTATTGACTCGAATATATAAGAACGTTGATTTTCTTTGTTTATTTAGTTATATTGCAATTAATTCAATTGAATGGTTGGCGGGTCTACATTCCGGTTTACTACAGCAGGGGTGTCAATAAAGTGACTCGTGTTCACAGCACCGTATGAGAGTAGCGGTAGAAGTGACTCGTGGCACCATAGTTTCTTATAAATTAAAATTTTATCTCTTAGGTTTCCCATTTAATCAGCTTATTTAATGAGAATTGTCAATAGATTAAGCATCTGCTTCCTTCTTTTTCAATCTCTTTTAATTAACGAAATTTTCGCAAATTAAAACCAAATCGTCAAAAATTGAAAAATGTCACTTTTAGCGCACTTTTAGTCGCGTTTTTCGACCTTTACTGTAGGAAATATAATTGTGCATATATTTATCTGATAGAATTTTCAATCTTTCATAATCAACAATTCCTTGGTAGCTATCTCTTTTTAGTTTAAGAGCTATGAATTTTTGAAAATCGTCCAAAAAGAGAATATCAAGACATAAATTTCATCTCTCAGATTTCACTTTTAACTGTGCTATCTGATAGAGAATAGTCCGTAGATTAAGACGCTGCGATCAGATCTTATTTATCTCTTTTGGTTTACGGATATTCGCGATTGAATAAAATGGGCAAAAATTGCAAAAATGTCACTTTTAGCACTTTTAGTCGCGTTTTTCGACCTTTTACTGTGGGAAAGCAGACACAATGGTGGAATAGAAATGCAAGGAATTATTGAAGAAAAACCGAAGCAAGAGACAAATATGTAAGAAGACTGGAGATGACAATGACAAAGAGAACTATAGGAAGGCGAGGAATGAAGCAAACCACGGAATAAGGGAGGTGAAGAATCAATGGATGAACCATAAGTTACAAACCGCTGAAAATCAGATGAAGAACAATAATACCAGAAAATTCTACCAAGACATTAAGAAAATGAATACCATAAAAAGCACCAGGCAAACTACAAAGATGAAGAACAAGCACGGAAAAACAGCAGAAACCGAGGAAGAAGAAAAGCAAATATGGGAAGAATACTTCAAGACAATCCTGACTGAAGACAAGACTCAAAGAAGAAATCTGGGAGTGGGACAAGAAGAAGAAAGGTGTGAAAGAAATGAGCAAATATCAATAGCCGAGCAAGATATAAAAGAAATAATAAAGAAACTGAAGAATGGGAAGACACCTGGACCCGATGGAATAAACAATGAACTAATAAAGTATGGAGGAAATCGAGTGGTCAAAGAAATACACGAGTTAATAAATCAGATATGGGATATGGAACATGTACCGGAAGAATGGGGTATAGGAGCAATATATCCAATTCACAAAAAAGGAGATAAACAGATATGTGACAACTATAGGGGCATCACCCTGCTCAACTCCACATACAAGATGCTGACCACAACCATACACAACAAACTAATGGAAAACATCACAATACCTGAATATCAAAATGGGTTTGCGAAAGGAAAATCTACCATAGATGCTATACACATGATGAAACAGATTCTACAAAAAACAACTGAGCATAACCAGAAAGTGATAATCATCTTCATAGATTTTAAAAAAGCCTTTGACTCAATAAACCGACAACAACTAATGGGAATTATACACTCGCTCGAGATACCAACAAAGGTAAAGGCAATGATCAACGTTGTCACTGAGAAAACAACAACATCAGTAATTACGAGAAGCGGACAGACAAGGGAATTCGAAACAAATATAGGGATAAGGCAAGGAGACATACTATCAGCAACATTGTTCACAATAGTAATCGAGCACATACTCAGAAATATACAAAGAAAAGGAACATTAAGAAACAAACCACTACAAATAATTGCATATGCTGATGACATTACAGTGATAGCCAAACAAAAGTATCTGCTTGAAGAAACAATGAGGGAAATTATGGAAGAAGGAAGAAAAATTGGACTATACATAAATACGGAAAAGACAAAGGTTATGATCACAGGAGACGATGAAACAAGTTCAATTAAGATAGGAAACCATATGTACGAGTGCGTAAAAACATTTAAATACCTAGGAGTCACCATCAACAAGAAAGGTACAAACACCGACGAAATAGCGGAAAGCACATAGAGCCTACTATGTCAATAGAAAGTCACTAACAAAACAAAACGCTGAGAAGAAAAACAAAACTGCTTGGGGATATATAAGACTATTATAAGACCAATTCTGATGTATGCAGCAGAAACGCCGTTAACAAAACAAGATCGAGCAAAATAGGGTAGAACGAGAGCAATAGTAAAGAGCACTGGGACCGAAGACAAAAGATGGATGATGGCATTGAGAAAAACAACCAGAGGTGGAAGATGTAATGGAAGGTGCTTGAAAATATCATAAGAAAAATCAAAAGCAGAGACTAAAGATGGGCCGGCCATATCGCGAGGACGTTCAGACACAATACTAAGGCAATTAGCTGATTGGCAGCCAGCAGCCAGCAGGAAGAGACCTCCGAGAAACTGGATTTACCAGCAAGTCGAAGA